CGCAATTAATACGTCTGGTCAAAATGTTTTATTTTGTTTACCACAAAGTTTTCAATATAATTCAAAGTTCAAATTCATAAAACGAAAATATAATTATGTGATTATGCATTTAAATTTTAAACTTTTATAAACGAATTGGCGCAAAATAAATAAATAAATAATTAGGAGTGTAGGTAAAAAAAAACAGAGAGATTAACCTATAACTTGTTATCTTCTAAAATTGAGAACGATTTAAACGGATTGCAGATGATGCAACTATTTAAAAAATTGGTTGGTTGGTTATCGTGTTAGTTTACTACGTAAAAACACTCCATTATAGTAATAATTATATCCGTTTTATAAGAACAACAAGAGTAAATCCATATCATAGTCTAAACTAAGTGTAGACCCAGTGTAGGGCAGAGCATTCACAGAGGAGGTGCTAGAACTTTTCTTCTTTTTTCCTTGTCATTGCAACTGCGACATTATTTATTAACAAAACTTGGGTCGTGTCTTCATTAAAATCCGATTCGTTGCGTTGCAAAGAACCGATTATCATGGGAAGAGAGCAACCGTGGCATGTTCCGTCTATTACTGTAATAACATGAAAGAATTGCAATTAAAGTCGCGCTGGAGATCTAGACTATAGACTAGACTATAGAACTAGACTATAGACTAGACTATAGACTAGACTGTAGACTAGACTATAGGCTAGACTATAAACTAGACTATAGGCTAGACTATAAACTAGACTATATACTACTCTATAGACCTAGACTATATACTAGACTATATACTAGGATATAAACTAGACTACAGACTAGACTATAGACTAGACTATAGACTAACTATAGACTGGACTATAGACTAGACTATAGACTCGACTATAGACTAGACTATAGACTAGACTATAGACTAGACTATAGACTAGACTATACTAGACTAGACTAGACTAGACTATAGACTAGACTATAGACTAGACTATAGACTAGACTATAGACTAGACTATAGACTAACTAGACTAGACTATAGACTAGACTATAGACTAGACTATAGACTAGACTATAGACTAGACTATAGACTAGACTATTGACTAGACTATAGACTAGACTATAGATTAGACTATAGACTAGACTATAGACTAGACTATAGACTAGACTATAGACTAGACTATAGACTAGACTAGATTATAGACTAGACTATAGACTAGACTATAGACTAGACTATAGACTATATACTAGACTATAGACTCGACTGTAGACTAGACTATAGACTAGACTATAGACTACACTATAATATAGGCTAGACTATACTCTGCCGGATGCCTGACGGACATGAAAGACGTGTAATTATATTCTTTGTGATAACACGATTGGAATACAACAATAACAAAGTAATATAAAAACAGCTGTTTTCCTTTTTTTTTCTATGTGTTTACATAAAAAATACATCCCCCATCTAATGCGACTTCCTTGTTTTTTGAATAATTTTAAAAAAAAAGAGAACCATACGATTATCCAATTTTCCATCCGTATTTTCTCTCAATTTCCATTTCCATTTGCAAAAATAAAAATTTCGTAAACAAAAGTTTTGAAATTTTAACATAAAAATATTAAAATATTTATAACATTAGAGGTAAAAAAAAAACTAAAACAATTTTGAATAATTTTCTTTTTTTTTTTTTTTTTTTGTTTAATTTGTTTCTTTGTAATTTATTTAACTTCTTATTAACTGATGTATATGTATTATATATGTAAATGTTTATTATATATATATTAATTATTACTAAATTATTTTACATTGTTTAAGAAAAAAAGTAACTAGAAGAGAAGCGAGAGAGAGAGAGAAAAAAAATTAAACACAAGTAAAATTAAATTTTAAGAATATTTAACACACAAAAAAGTGATTTATTATTTAAACTTATAATTACAAAAAAATATATATTATTATTATTATTGTAGGTAAATATATAATTTCACTAAATATTTGCAAAAACAAAAGTTAAATATATAAATTTAATATTTATATTATTAAAAATAAAACGTAACTAAAAAAAATTAAAAGAATTTATTTAAAGCATATGTAGTTATAAGGTATTTATGTATATGTAGTGGTGGAAAAAAGCTAAAATAAAAAAATAAAAAAACAAAATATTAAATTAAACTTGTAATGAAATATAAAATTAAAAGACCAGAGTTGTTAGTAAAAAAAACACCTATAAAACACGTGTGATTGCAATTGCAAAAAACTTGGGGTCAAAGTATTACACTTGGGCAAGGTACTCAACCCATTATCTAAAGCAGTAAGTAAAGGCTTTAGATTAATTTTTTAAGAGTAGCAGACAAACACTCACTCACTTGTTTATTTTATTTTAGTTCTTTTTTTTTTTTTGTTGTTGAAATGAATACAAACATTTGTTTAGTTTTATTTATTTTGTAAAGTGGTTTTAACTAAATTTTTTTTTCTTTTATTTTCTTTAATATATATATATTTTTTTTCTTTCTTTAAATTAAAATTTCAAAAAAACAATTAAAAACCTTTTTTCATCAAGAAATTATTACTAAATATTTGTTTTAATTAATTCTAAAAAATATTTTTAATAAAAATAAAACATTTAAAAGATAATATAATATAATAATAATAAAAAATAAAAAAAAGCAAGCTCTAGTTAATTTAATAATATAATATAATATTTTATATAAAGAGTTAACAAAAAAGAAAAAAAAATTAATAATAATAATAACTAAAAATAAACTTAAAAAAATAATAAAAGAAAAAAAAGGGAGAAAAACAATATAATTTTTTTTAAAGAAAAGATTTCAAATTATAAAATATAATGAAAAGTAAAGAGTAAAGCAAGCTTAAAGCTTTGGGCTATTATTTAATTAACACGAAATGGAAGAAAAAAACTACAGAAGAAACAAAATATTTAATTAAAATGTAAAATAATAAAAAAAAATTAAGAAGACTTTTTAAAGCATTTTTTTAAAGGGTTATTATTAAAATAATAAAAAAGAAAATTAATGTTTTTAAAGTGGTTGGAAAAGTCAAATTTCAAATGGCTTTCAAAAAAGAGCTTTTATTTGAAAATTGACTTTTCTTTTTTACAGTTTTTTTTCGATTTTGTTTTTCTTACAATACCATACATTTTAGGGAGAAAAAAAAAGACAAACTTTATCAGTTAATTTTAAGAGTTTTAATTATAAAAGAATTTAATTTTAGGGGTTTTATAAAGTTGTTTCTTTTTAACCGTTAAGGCTTTTAAAAGTCAAAATAGATTTTGCCAAAAGTTTTAAGAAATTTTAAACTGTAACGCCTACAGTTTGCATTACAATTACGTATCCGCTTACAACTGTTGAAGCAAGGATCGAAGAAAAAATATTCCCACAAACGTAAGAAAAAGGACGAAGACATTCCCATTTGTTTTACAGCTTTACGAGAGTGTTTATTGTGCATTTAAGCTTTTGAAAGTTGTTATTTTTGTGGCGAACGCAAAAGGTCTTTAGAAAACGAAAGAAAATGCATAATACCAAAGTTGTTAAAAGGAGAAAATTTCTATTCGAATTGAAATTCATTCATTCTGTCAACTAGCAACACGAGATACATAATAGACCCATTAATTTCATATGAAAGCTATAAGCTTCCCGAAATTTCCTTTTTGTAAAAAGCAAGAATTTGTAAAACTTTTTCTAAAAGATTTTTGAGATATCAGTCAATGTTAAAACTTTGTTTTCATTATTAAAATGTTTATATCTCGAAAAAATCTTTAACAAACTTTATAAAATTCCCAAACACATTAATCTTTTGTAAATATTTTTCTTCAAACCCTCAAAAATCCCCCAAAAAAGTTAGTTTTTTCTCCAGAAAAAAAAAAGAAAACTCAAAAATATTACAATAAATTGAAGACAAAATATAATAAACTTTTTTTTTCTTTCTATCAGTGTATGTGTATGTAGTGTTTTAGAAATGTATGTTGTTTGTTAATTGTTTTTAAATTAAATTTAAATCCTTTTTTCTCTTTACTTTTTTTATAATAATTAATTAATTAATAATATTACTACTTAAAACTTGTTATTAATTTTAATAATAGAATAATATTTACGTTTTTTTTTCCTTAACTTTTTCAAACTCACAAAAATTGGTTTTGTTTTTGTTTTTTTCTTATTATTTTTAAATTTAGCATTTTAGTTGTTGGTTTTCTTAGTTTGTGGTTGCTGTTTAATATTGTTTGTTATTTACTAGAAATGTTTTTGTATGCAATTGATTTTTTGTTTTTCTTTTTCATTTTCATATTCTTTTTCAATTATTCCCTAGTAAATAGTAGTAGTTTTTTGTTTAAATCTTTAAATACTCATTAGATGTTAAATAAACTAAGTGTAAATTGTTGTTTGCTTTTAATTTAAGTTTTAAAAAAAATTTTACTTTTTTGTTTATTACTCGCTCTTAGTAAAGTGTTTTAATATTTGTTGTTTTTAAAATTTAACTTAAACTCTTTTTTTGTTTAAAGAAAAAACTTATAATTTTGTTTCTTGAAAGCATTTATAGTGTTCTTTACTTTAATTAAAAAAACTGCAGCAGCATTTTCTTTTGTTTTTTTCTAAAGAATTTGTTTGTAATAAAGGGTTTTTGTTGTTGTTTATTTTATCCAAGTCTTTAATTAAGTATAAGTAGTTTTCTTTAAATATATTTCGAAAAAAAGCTGTTTAATCTAATTATACAAAAATTCTTTATTTTAGCTAAATATACCCTTTAAATTTATTTTAAAAAAATGCTGTGTATTTAAAAAAAAAAAACAAAAAATTGTAATTGCATTGTGGTTTGGAAAAAAGTTAGTTGTTGTTTCGAACAAAAAGTAAAATATTGTTTTCTTTTTTTTATTATTTTTTTTTGGTTGTAATTGGCTTTTTTAAAAACTTCTCTGCTTATTTTTTGTTGTATTATGTTTACATTTTTTTTTTTAGATTTTTTTCAGTTTTTTTTTATATTTAAATTAGTTTTTTTCTGGTTTTTAATATTATTTATATATTTATATTATTATTAAAGGTTTTTTTTTGTATTTATATTTAATATTTATAAGTTGTTTTTTATATTTATATATAGATTTATGTATAAGATTATATTATTATAAAGTTGTTTAATGTTGATGGCACAAAAGTTCAAATTTTTTGTATTTTTTCGCCAACTACTACCGGATTATTGCGTCTAATTTCTTGGGCTCCATGTTCCCGATAATCAAATGTACAATTGTGCTTATCGCTGTATCGATGGACAGCACAATATAAACCGCCACATCTGCAAAGGAAACCTAAAAAGTGGATAAGAAATGTGAAATTAGTATTTATTAGGAAAAAAAATAGAAATAATTTTTTATAGTCAAGACTATAGACGAGATAGGTAGTAGTCTTTTCTATAGTCAGGACGATACTATAGTCAACACTATAGTCTAGACTATAGAACAGTCAATATTCCCGACTATAGAACAGTCTATAGTCCAGACTACATAACAGTCTATAGTCTAGACTATAGAACAGTCAATATTCCCGACTATAGAACAGTCTATAGTCCAGACTATATAACAGTCTATAGTCCAGACTATAGAACAGTCTATAGTCCAGACTATAAAACAGTCTATAGTCCAGACTATAGAACAGTCTATAGTCCAGACTATAGAACAGTCTATAGTGCAGACCATAGAACAGTCTATGGTCCAGACTATAGAACAGTCTATAGTCCAGACTATAGAACAGTCTATAGTCCAGACTATAGAACAGTCTATAGTCCAGACTATAGAACAGTCTATAGTTCAGACTATAGAACAGTCTATAGTCCAGTCTATAGTCCAGTCTTTAGTCCAGTCTATAGTCCAGTCTATAGTCCAGTCTATAGTCCAGACTATAGTCCAGACTATAGAACAGTCTATGGTCCAGACTATAGAACAGTCTATAGTCCAGACTATAGAACGGTCTATAGTCCAGACTATAGAACAGTCTATAGTCCAGACTATAGAACAGTCTATAGTCCAGACTATAGAACAGCCTATAGTCCAGACTATAGAACAGTCTATAGTCCAGACTATAGAACAGTCTATAATCCAGACTATAGAACAGTCTATAGTCCAGACTATAGAACAGTTTATAGTCCAGACTATAGAACAGTTTATAGTCCAGACTACAGAACAGTCTATAGTCCAGGCTATAGAGTAGTCTATAATCGAGAGTATAGAATAGTCCATAGTACAAACTATAGTACAGTGTATAGTCCAGACTATAGTACAGTCTATAGTACAGTCTATAGTCCAGACTATAGTATAATCTATAGTCCAGACTGTAGAACAGTCTATAGTCCAGTGGAGACTATAAAACAGTCTATAGTCCAATAAAGACTATAGAACGGTCTATAGTCG